CCCCCCCACCCACCCTCTTCGGAGAATGAGGCCTCCTCATCTGCGGAAGACGACGCAGGCACCCCCTTGCCCGAAAATGGTGGGGAGTGGTGTCTGCGGTGTCTCCGGCGCTGTGGTTCGGCCCCATCGGGGGTAAATATTGCCTGTGTGTCCGTGAGGGCCGTCGTGTCTGTTCTGTCTACATTGCGCGAGAGGTCACCACCGTTGCGTACCGGTAAGTGATATCTCATTCTGGTTCCTGATACTGGGTGATGTTGATATGTGCTGCTCAAAGAGGGAAGCGCTTATGAAGACATTCTGACACTGGAAATGTTCAAGCCAATATAATGGTGCCACGACACTTGTAAAACGCATAATAGACGCGCCAGAGTGGCAGAGAGCAGTTCGCCTCCCAGCGAGGATCATCTACCATGGGAAGTCTCATTTTATACTAGGCGACTATCCCAGGAATTCCATACGGCGACTTCGTCGAATAATGTGGGATGGCTAGCCTAGTATTTTATTACCTCATTTCTGACAGTGTGAAGGACGATAGAAGGTCGGGGGCTTGTCCAGCCATCGAAGCATATTCTCGATAGGCTAAAACGAAAACGGTATCCGATCCAGATGCAGTCCCAGCTTTGGGATGTCGAGGAATAGTGACTGGTGCAGACATCATGTTCTCTGCACAGATGTGGGAGAAGATGGTGTCAACTACGTGAACGTTAACGTTGTAACATCGCTGCTCAAGAGGTTCAATAATAGAACTTCGCGAGGGTAGTATTTTCGCTTATACCAGACTCGGTTGCAGCAACTCTCAAACCTATGGGCGGAACAGCATAGATGAGAAGGTCAAAGATAAGTTAGGCGGGATATCGCACATAATGCAGGTGGAAACAGTTGTGCCCTTTGACTGTCCCTACACATTGTAAACAGTATATCCCCTTTAATTGGGCATGGATTCCGGTTAAAGAATCCTTCGAAACAGACGACATTAGCATAATTTGCGGTCGCCGTCGACCATATAATAGAAAGACGTTTTGTTTCCACGACAGAGAACCGAGTTATCAGGAGTAAAGTTCTCAGTTGCTGGAGACACAGCGGCGCCAGGGTAAGTGAGCCACGTGCGCTCTGAACGACCTAGTAGGTTTTGATGTAGCCATAGTTGTTGCTACCAATGAAGTGAATGCACCAGGACGAGAGGAGACTTTCTGCCTCCCTCTGTTGCTAACACAATGGGAAGATTCTTTGAAGGTCCAAGAACATAGAATTATAGCTTGGACGCCCTAGATGTTGGCTTGTTGAGCTCTGCGGGAAGGCATTGATTCTTGGAGTTGGCGATTTTCTCCGATAAGTTGAGGCAACTTCATGCCCAGATCTGAGAAGGAAAGTATGATTAACATGTACCGAGTATGTACATGGCTGTGATTGTCACTACAGTAGCTGATATTAAGGTATGCTGATAGGGTAGAGTGGGTATAGAAAAGAGAGGTTTAGTCAAATAGTCTTGTTAAATAGACGGGATATGGCAATCGAATATTGCATATTACATAGACGAAACCATTAACTATTGCTCCAGAGTAGAATTCACACAAATCATTCCTCTATTCGACAAGAGTGAAGCCCAAGGTCATTCCTTCATCATACGCGGGTCTCGAAATTCGGGTTACCAAAAATAATAAAAAGAGAATAAAATCATGGAACATGAAGATCACGTAGCATTGGATCAATGATATGACGGCAATAACTCAGAATGCGATCATGATCTACGGGGAGGACGATCATTCAATCATACGATTTCCGAGATCATGCCACATTAGATGCAACATTTCGTCTTCTCCTCCACCTCGACAATATTTATATACCCAGTCAACCCCATTCGCAACTCTAATTTCCCCAAGATTCCCACTCCTGAAATTCAAGAGACTTCTTACCCCATATCAAACAAGACAATTTACCCCATGGATACTCACACAACCCCAACTGCTCCGCAGCGACCCAACTTCAAGCGTCCCGTTTACTTTCCACCTGTGAAAGGGAATATTGGCAAGTGGCATGTTCCTCTTCACTTTACTCAAAAATAATTAGTACTAATAAGTCACGGATATAGGTACCTCCCCACAATGGGAATGATAGCGCTTGGTAAACCACCCCACCCTCCCTTACCTTCCCTCTCCCAAATTCGCGTTGAGCAATCAAGAAACATCCGTCTAACGACCAATCCCAGGATTCGGCGCCTACAATTACTTTAACACTCCCACTCCCACTCCCGCATATCAAGACCCCGAGGAAGCAGAACGCCTTCGGAAAAATAAGGCCCTGATGGACGCATACGGAGACAAGGAGACCTTGCAAGACATCGAACGTGCGTTTGCACTCTACGAGATCCAGTAATAATGAGCTCAGACTGGTTCTGAAAGCAATAGGATTCGGCATTTACGGAGTTTGGCTACTTGGGTGGTTTTGACGATTGTGATTTGCATTCTGTCTCTGTCTATATTTTTCCTGCGACGATCTGGAATCTAGTATACTAGCATATATTTTTAAATATACCATTTTCTTTTTTCATTATAAGATGTCATATTTAATGAGTGCGCTAGTAGTGTTATTGTCCGGCTGTCGAATCAAGGGTGTTGATATGCCATTGCCATGCAAGCCTCAGGCCATTTGATCGTCGTGGTCCAGTTGTTTTTTTTTTTTGTTTTTTTTTTCCGCTATGGTTCCGATTTGATGGCTTTTGTCGGGCTTTCTTGTCACTCCATCTATCCATCACCTGGTCATAGAGATCATGCAACGTTGCACGGAAAGGGCAAAGCACCAACCCCTCACTTGACACCTTATACACCCTTGTCAATGGTCTATACCAAGGCTTTTGGTTTACATAGACAGGAAATACCCTACCTAGGTTTCAACCCTGGGCCCAGTAAAGTTCTTGCGTCCGTCGACGATCCACTGCACAACGGACACGATAACTATGATCGCAAATGCAACGATACAGTAATCTACACATATCAGATTCGTCTCGTAAAAGAATAGTGTGCTGCCATATTATACTTACTCATACTACTCCCCGTCACCGGACGGGAAGGAGGGAAAAGAAACAAGACGGTCGTGAGAGCGATATAAGTCAAAGAGACCTATCCCGTTAGACCACAACACCACACCACGCCCATCAGAGCACAACATAATTAAAACTTACAATATCAATCGCCCATCCAACCCCATTCGGAATCTTGAATTTCCGATCGGGCAATGTCTTCCGTCCGCGCAGGCAGTTGACAGCGATCGGCATGGCATAGGACAGATCCAATGCCACGACGGACGACGAGACAATAGCGTTGAAGGCGCTATCTTCTTAGCTAAATCACGCTAAATAGCCCCTAGCCATAGAACGTACCTTGAGGAACCGAGGAAGATCAGGCCGAAAATGATAACGACGAGCGTTGTCAACGCCAGCGCGTTCAAAGGTAGTCCCAGCCTTTGGTGAACATGGGCGAAGAATCGTGACGCGGGAAGTCCACCATCCCTGGACACTATCAGTCGCTCGCTCGTCGGGGTTATAGTGATAATAAGGAAGGAAATTTACCGAGCGAATGCGAAAATCATCCGGCTACTCGTTGTCATCACGCTGAGCGTTGCAAAGGCCAGGCAAACAAGTGGGAGCCTATCATGTCAGTTTACTGATTCGGGGCGCACGCTAATGAGGGAAATATACATGAGCAGGCAGATTGCACCGGCGGTATTTTGGGTCGCATGGAGGAGGATTTGCAGCAGGGGACCTGCGCTTGAGCTCACCACGTCGTTGATGTCGCCGGCGACAAACAGCAGGACGATAAGAAAGACGGAGCCGGTGAAGGTGCCAATCCCAACGCAGGTCAACATGACCTTGGGCCCTTTGACGGATGGCTGAGGGATTTCTGGATTCAAACCAGGGTTAGTGGCGTCTCGTGATAGTGCACCTGGTTGTTCGTACCCTCGATCATATGTACCACAGCATCCTAGCAGTATTAGCAAGGCGATGGATATTGGGGCCTAGATTCAACGTACAAATGCAGTGACTCCCAGGCCTCCTTGGAGGAGCTAATTCAATCAGCCTATGTGGTTCTCAATTAAGAGGCAGCGATAGACAAACCCCCAATAACCACGCCACACCATCGGGCCCTGTTATTCATTAGCGGCATCCTACGTCTCTGATTTTGTGAACCTACAGCCAGTTTGATTCACAAAGTCGCAGAACACAAAACTATCCTGTTAGTTAATGATCGTCGGTCTTCGAGAGAATACTCACTAGGCTGAGTTATAGTCTGGCGAAGCGCACGCCAGCACGGTAATAGAAACCAGGACGAACCCGCCAATCGACCACGTAACTATGAATATTAGGATTGGCCCAACATATTACTACGAGTGACATACAAGCGCCGCGATAGATCAGTGGAAGCACCGAGTTCATAAACGCGTTAATCACGAATGCGCCCAGCGTAATCCCCACGTAAATGAGGAATTGCTGCCATCGCTGCAATACAAAGCCCTAGTCACCATCAGTAAGTGGGATATATTAGCCTCCAGGGAAAGGAATACATACAGGATAAACCGCGGAGACAATACCCGAGATTAGCTGGCTTGAGAGCAGGGCGTTCGTAGCCACTAGAGCAACCTATTGGGTCAATTTCGCTCATGATAGCCAGATCCGGGATTCGTACCCATCCCGCGACATTAACCCATCCTGTAATCCAAGATAGGATCGGAACCCATTGGGGCCAAGACACTGTATTTCTTAGCAGATGAAATGGACCCTGATGCGTTGAGCCGACATACCAACTGACGACATTAGTGAGACAATTATATGCAAGGGATAATTTACTTACCAGCAACCCAATGATACTGTCCACCCGCCCTATCAGATGTGACTACAAGTTAGCCTCCCTTTTGCTCTCTTCGCTTTTTTTTTTTCTCTTGCCTTGCCTCTTCACATTTGCCAAGAAACTCACGTTGGATATGCCGAGAGAAATTCGGCCAGGGAGGCTGCGATGCAGAGATTGCAAGTGCCAGCTGTTACCAGTCCTTGGAACTGTGAGCGAGGTCCGTCAGTATCGCATCGAACGACTCACCCCAGATAACACTGGTGCTTCCCCCCGATGTCAGACTGATTGACAGACTGGCCGACAAAGCCGTCCAAGACTATAGTCTGTTAGATTAAACGGGCTATTCCAGGATATCGTTAATACATACATTAAGCACCGCAAACGCTAAGCCAAGCATAGAACTAGGGCGAGCGAATCAACATTTAGCCGGTCAGCTGCCACCTGGAAGAAGGCTTACAGGGTTGAAAAGTTCCGGTGCAATTCCGGCTTATGACCCATACGGGCCAGCTGGGCGTCGTCTTCCGGGACATATTCGGCCTTTGTTTCCTCCATGGCGGTCAATGAGGATCAGAAGGAAAGGGGATAAGGAGCGGTGGGTTGGATTGCATGCAGCATTGGCGGGTATTAATATTTATGATTTAATAGTAGTGTTTTAGAACTAATCCAGCAGCCAAGATAGAAGCGGAATGTCCAACCTCGGATGCGGGGAAGACTAGGGCATCGAATTGGCTTTAATAAGGGACGAGTCACCAAGCTACAGAAAGGGATGTGATTTGTTCGATACCACTTCAGGTGGGCCCCTAGACAAGGGAGAAGCTTCTTCAACGATTAATTAACCCACTATTCAATCATCCTGACTGGACAACCCGAATGCTTATCAGCAACACCACATGACAAGGTCTTCATTCCGCCTGGACTTACCCATCTCGTGCTAACCTTGGCTTCACTAGCTTAAAGGTAGGAGGGCTCTTGCCAAGACTTGTCCTGCTGATGCGTATCGCCTCACTAGCGATCCGGTGAGCTGGTGCAAAGATAACACACCATGCCAGTCACCTCCCGCCAAGTAGAGGTCATTTACTAGATATGTGCAGCCCCAGCCGTAGTTACAAAAGCGCTCCTCAACGCTCTTGTATTCAAAACTGAGCCAACCTCGTGTAAGCTCCACGCAATATGCATTTCACATTTTCAATATGTCCGTGTCTCTTATTAGCTACTGGAACAATAAGATCAACCTTCGCTCATGTCGCACAACCTCCACCAGAGGATAGAATATGCACGGAAACCACCGTGGCAATTTTGTAAGATGGTAAGGTTACTGAATGTCACAGGGGTCTAACATAGTACAGGGGGGGTGGAATGGCCGGGATCACGGCAGCAGTGAGTAGTCTTCTCAAGGCTGTTATCAAGCCCAAGAAACGCTATAGAGATAAATATTTACTCACCGAACCAGCAAGCCCTGTCAAACGCTTCTATACACGACTTCATCATCTTAGAGTACCGGAGTAATATAGGCGGACGTGTATGGAATACAGATTTCGGACAGGATGAGAAGGGGAAGCCTTATGTGGTAGAGTTTGGCGCAAACTGGGTAAACCTTAACACATTCGGTCCATTACAGTCTAACGAACAGTTTTGCTAAGCTCAAGCCTCAGCTGCATGGTGTGGGAACAGGAAGAACAGGTGGGCCTCACTGATTCACACATTTTGGCTTTGCTAACTTCAAGAAGAGAACCCTCTCGTTACTCTAGTATGGATTTACATTTCTTTTATTCTCTTATTGACAAGGTCTTACACTTCCAGGCCCACAAACACAACCTAAAGAACGTATTGGATAATTCCAGCTCCGTTCTGACATACGACGAAAACGGGTACAACGACTACCAAGACATACTAGACGCCTTCAGCGATATTAAGGACACCGCTTACAAGGATGCAGGACAAATGCTACTAGACAATATTCAGGATGGGAATGCACGCACGGGATTTGCCATGGCTGGCTGGAACCCTCGAAGGAATGACATGAAGGCACAAGCCGTAGAATGGTGGAACTGGGGTACGATGCGCACAGGGGAGCAACATGTTCACGGTCAACCCTAACTAACCAACAAGTGACAGACTGCGAGTCCGCAGCCAGCCCCGAGGCCAGCTCATTCATTTTCGGGGTAGCCGCCGAAAACCTCACATTCAACCAATTTGGTGACAACAATCATATGGTCATTGATCCCCGAGGATACAGTACCGTCATTGAAGGCGAGGCATCGTCGTTCCTCCACAAAGAGGTCCAAGATCGCCGACTCTGGCTCAACACTCAAGTTACTGATATCACGCATTCGAAAAAAGGAGTTCAAATCACCAACAAGGACGGCAGCTGTATCAGTGCCGCATATGCCATCTGCACGTTTTCTCTGGGCGTCCTACAGAACGACGTCGTACAGTTCCATCCGTCCTTGCCCAGATGGAAGCAAACTGCCATTCAGAAGTTCAGCATGGGGACCTATACCAAGATCTTCCTGCAGTTTGACGAGGCATTCTGGCCGTCAAACACATCGCATTTCCTCTACGCCTCGCCTACCACACGCGGGTTTTACCCGATATTCCAATCTCTATCTAGCGACGGCTTCTTGCCCGGGTCCAATATTCTTTTTGTAACGGTTGTAGGAGAACAGGCATATCGTGTAGAAAGACAATCGGACGAGAAAACGAAAGCGGAAGTCCTCGCTGTCCTCCGGGAGATGTTCCCAGACAAGCATGTGCCCGAACCAACCGCGTTTGTATATCCCCGTTGGAACAATGAGCCATGGGCATACGGTAGCTATTCCAACTGGCCGGTCGGAACTACATTAGAAATGCACCAGAATTTGCGCGCGAATGTAGACCGTCTGTGGTTCGCTGGGGAGGCGACCAGCGCATCGTACTTTGGATTCTTGCACGGAGCGTGGTATGAGGGGCGCGATACAGGCGAGCATATCGCTGCTATATTGCAGAATCGATGTTCGACAACTTATGGGGAGGTTACTTGTGGAGACCGCACGCATTATGATGTCTTGCATGGCACGACACCGAAAGATGCATATACAGGCATCAATGGGTGGCCGCTCAACAGCACTAATCTTTGAAGACTAAGAGCTATCCACGGGATATGGAGTTGATACAACATGAGAAGACTAGAATAGATCTTGGAAGAGCTAGAGGAGTTTTATATGCCAAGGAGAGATCTGAAAAGGCCCATGATGAATATCGACACTGGCTTTAGGGCATGCTCATAAACTAAAAAGTGGTTTATAGGCATTAAGTAAAGAAACCCTTTTCATAGTAGCTGGGCGGCTGGCCTAATGGTAAGGCGCTTGACTTCGGATCAAGAGATTGTAGGTTCGATCCCTGCGTCGCTCGTACTACTTTTTTTCACTTGGCAAGACCAACCACATTTTTTTTTACCTCCCTTCCGTGGCTCCATGTTAAATCATTATCCTTTTCTGCGCATCCCTTGGTAGTGCATACGTATCTATATTGAATGTAAGTAAGCAAGTGCAGTTTTTGCAAAGTTATCCAGGGCCAATGACTGCACTTTTGCTCAGCGGAGAAAGAAGAAACTCTACAGAGAATGGAACTCGGTCGCATATGAAAGAGATCCTGAAGTTCAGTTAATATTATCTATATGATTTCAAGGGCTTGGCAATAAGATATGTTGCATATGTTGTTCTCTTTTCGAAGTGGTGCTTTTCCTCAGCAAGGTATGGAATGAATATATGTTGAACTGGAGGAGCCTTCTTTGTGTCTTCTCAACCCTTTAACTTCGTTTTAATATAGATATCTTCATATAGCCTATTAGACAGCAGAGCATGTCCTAAGTAGGAGACTTTCACGTATACAGATTGCAACATCTTGGCTGTATCTTGTAGTTGTATGCATGGAATACGCTCAATATAACTGTACGGTTATGTCCAACCCTATCCATGCACGTGATACAATTAAACCTATTGGCCAATCATAGTGTCGAGGTATGAATATCCCATAACGGACTACAGAACATTAACAACCTTACCATGTCAATACAGCCAGGATTTACCTACGAGGCGCTAATGCTTGTGGGCAGATAATCAATATCAGATCTAAAATCATAAGTACAGGAACCCGATAAACGGAGTATCAAACCTCAAGAAATGCCCATTGCGATAAGTAACTCATAACCTCAGCATAAAATAACTCACTCAAAAACGCGTGGTTGTGATTCCCTTGCAGTTCGCGTCCCCTAGTTTCACGGTATATCCGAGTATGCCAGATGTAATGATACTGCTGGGCAAGTGAGCTTTTCGTACCTTTTGATCTATAACATTACTTGCTCCTCTGTCTCAAGTAGTTGACCTTCTTCAGCCGTAGCAATTCTATACCGTTGTCGCCAACAACTTTCCTTTTCTTACCATTTTCAGTCGCGTAGCCAGCAAATTTTTCATACACCAGGTGGGTAGCTGCACAATGGCGGATATACAAATCCTCGTCATTGATATGAAAGAAGGGTGCGTTCCGACCACCCTTCCACACTAGCCTTCCCCAAGTTGTCGAAATCACCGCTGATCGGAGATGACTGTTCTGTTATAGGATCAGGTACCTCCCCATTGAACTCATTTTAACAAGCGTCATATATCTTCACGAACCCTGGGTAGTTCATGCCCAATGTGTTATCGAGGAGGTCCTGCAAGAAGTCCTAAAGGTTACCGAACCCTAAATGTGACGAATTAAAGCCTTGCCCCTTCCAAGGACAAGAAAAAAATCACAATTTAGCTCTGCGTCGCTCTGACAGACTGAGTATTGAATCTTCTAGCTGGACAGGTGCAGGGTTAAGTAAAAAAAACCCCCAATTCGATCTTCTCCCATTCAGAATCTTGACCAGGTGTGCAACACGAGGCTTCATCCCACTATTAATAAGATCTGGCTTAATGAAAATTCCGGCAGTCTGAACTCTGGCTTCGTCTGAATAGCGAGCTGAGTGGATGATCCCTTGAGCATGGTCTTCACTACAAACCGATGCCACAGCAAGGAGTGAGTTTTCAAGGTACCCACCGGCCATATCCCGAAAAGTTTGAACGTTTTGTTCATTGCGATACTGAGATCTGGCTGGGGAGATTAAGTTCTAGACTCGCTAGTAGAAACAAAGTAAGACCCAGGGTTTCCGTATTGTAAGTACGATCGCTACCAGGAGGGTATATGTATGCTATTGATGAAGAGGAAAAAGGGGGGGGAAACGAGAATTGTACAGGATGTAAAGTGGTGTCGTATCATGAACGATTAGAACGAGTCATCACACATCTCTGACAGTCGTTCCTCTATGTTGAGAACATCCCAACCCGTCCATCCGGATGGAGAGTATCTTCAGTGTACGGGAGAGTAATCTACACAGAAATGGCAACGATCGAGGGAAAGGAAGCAAAGCAAAAGTTAGAGAAAGGCGAAAGATACCAATATCAAAGGTTTTAGTTCATTTATAAAAACGGTCGGAGGCATATAGGGAGCATCAACTGGCCAAGATCTGAACATAGCCCGCTGTGACCAATGTCAGACAAAGAGTGAATATACTAGCAGCTTAACCAATGGGGATTACGGACAAGGATTCCAGAGGAAAGGCCTCATGTATGAAATTAATGTGATGTGAAACAACTTTGGGAACCAGGGATATGACACGCCACTCGTCAGCTAAAGACCCCAAACAAAGGCCCACGACAACCTCTTCTTCAGGAGTCCAAAGAATCAATAACAGTCCGCAAAAGTGATCAATGTGGATTGCGCTACTTAGTTCCTGTGATACAGAATATAGTAGCCAACTTGCCCACGCACCGTATCCACCTCTAGTGTAATATTGTTACATCTTCCACGATGCCACAAAATTAGCATCATACGGTGCTCGCCCCGTTTCCTGTTTCTACTTGGGACTAGGGCTGTTAATAGATTGAGAGGCTCTGATCAGTGAACTCTCCCAAACCCGGACATCATGCAACATCGAAGTTCAGGCGGCGCATAAGTCAAGTGTCTCTTGTCAAGGTCACGGGAGTTCCGCTTAGGGAGGCGATCTCTGCCTGAGTAACCGCGCCAACGGATGTACCTGATTGTCTTAAGATATTGTCAATCGGCTACTTGGTTTCCCGAGTGGGTGTTGCATCTGACATGCGTGCTCGGATGCGGCAACCTTGTTGGAGATGGAGGATCGTACCTTGTCAATCTGCTTGTAATCTTGTATTATGTTGTAAGCCTAATTACAATATAGTTGAAAATAATTAGATTTCCAGTCCATTCTCAATTGTGCCTTGAAGGTCCAATTTGCAGGACGCTATGCCTGTCTATACAGATTCATACTCTTGGCACTATTCTTATTTGGCAAACCCTTGAGGTCTAACTTATAGTTGGATTAAGTGGATCCTGCTAAGCCTTTGAAAGGAATCGACTCCCAGCATAATAAGATGGGAGATATTAGGGTTGCCAAGGCAGAAGCATTATACTATTGACTAAGCCTAAGCTTATAAGCGGTCGAGCCCACCTGACACTTCTGTTTTGATTCCCAAGTTGCTCGCGCAACTTACATCCCATACTGTCAGAAGTATGGCACAGCCAGCCTCTTGGACACATTCCTGCGCCCGTTGACCACGTTCGTGAGCGAATCACTGGAAGCCGCCCCCTTCCAGACCTTTTTTGTCCTCGTCCTCATTTACATGCTCTCTCTTCCCGTTACAGGGTGGATAATGAGACTGTGGCCACTGTTTCCTTCCGACGAAGACCATCCTCACAGGGTTTGCCCAACATGCGGCAGTACGGGTGTTGCGAACGATGAGACGCAAAATACAACATCCAAGGCCGAGGCGAATTGAGCCTAAAGGCTTCAAGATGTCCGCAACTGGGTTGCACGCCCTCAAGCGAGACTTAGCATCGCTCTAAGTAAAGGATGGCTATATACTATTGCAGGAACGTGGGACATAATGTGCGGGTTTAATGCAAAGTCATACTTGAAGGAAAAGATAAAGATGAAACTCGGGTGGGAGCTTGACACGGTAAGAGCTTATAAAAGGGTTTCCGGGTTCTCAGCAACCCTTTTACCACCGATATTATTGTTATAGAATACGGTTGCTATCCCGCTATTATTTACATTGCCTTTTCCCACCCCTTTCCTTCCCTCTTTTGTTTTCTTGTTTCACTTTTTTTGACTTGAACTACGCTCACGGACCGGTGATTTTATGGGTCATCTGAGTTGCCACCCTCCAAAATGTATACAAATATGGGTTTCGTCACTACACGATCCCAGGTTCTCAGATATCTAATACCCCTAGTGCTTTTTCCTTATTTGGCAAGCTGCAAAATTGCCACAATATAACCTACTAAATAATATTATCGTCTAGTTCCTGCAGACCGTTAACTGGAGGAAGCTTCCACCCCTGTCCTCGGGACTCATTCTGAGCATGTTCTGGACGGTTTCGTACACCGTTTCATCCTCCCAGGCGCCCCCGATCAGTTTACCGACGCTGCTTTTATCGCCGACGCGGACGAAGACATGGGAACCTTGGGCCATTGTGTCGCGGCAGTCGACCGTGTAGTAAGGGTGGTCTGTAGGGGTGAGTGTCGGTACCGGGAGAGTGGAGTTAGATATAAGAGGAAGGGGAGTACAACACCCCACCGGTGACGACCTTATTGCTCAGAAGATAGAAGAGTAGGTATGGAACCGGGAAGGCTATACCTAGGGGTAATGAGTAAGAGTGGGTGCCTGATTTGTTACTGCTAGTGTTTGGGTATTGCAGTCGACACCGGAAGATAGACTACTGCCTGACGACCGTTCTGGAGGGCGGCTGATCACATAAAAAATCAAACGCAGGGCCCCTAGAGGAAATCCTGGTAGGACTCTAATTCTTATTGGGGTTTATATGCAGTTGCTGTCACATTCAATGGTGACTTATCAGACGCCGGCAGGCAAGCATTCAGCTGCCAAGCAACGACGCCACTGCGGAATTTTGGCACATTATCTATAGGGATATCTTAATAACCTATATAGCATTTCGATGGAATATTACTTTAACCCTTATCAAAGCCAGAGATCTACGAATTAAGAACCCTACTTTTGGAATGAACGTGTATGTTTCATACACAATCTTACATATCATTAATCTAAACAAGTAGAGCAATACCTCTGTTTAATCTATACTCTAGCGCCTAGACCTGCGAAGCATTTCTCAAATTAAACTATACATTAGCCCATATCACTCATACAAACATTAATCTCATATCAAACCAAGAACCAAAATCTATTAAAATGCTACATACACCACCCTCCCACCCCAAACACAACCCCAAAACTACCTATCATTAACATTCGGCGTCGAATACCTCCCATGGAAAACATGATACTCAGTCGTAACCGAAATACCCGACCTCCCATCCACCGGCACTGAACCCGCATCCTTGACCAACTCATCCTCCGAATCATGTCTGGAGAGCCCCGACTCCATCCCATTCCGATCCACAACCGCATTCGACGCCCCCGACGCTGTAACGTTACTCAGGGGTCCTTGCTTCCCGGGACCGTTGGAGTGGGAGAGTTCATAGGCACGACTGCTGTAGTAGGTCCCGCCGCGGGACTTCGAACCGAAAAAAAGCGTGCGTAGGACGGGGAGGGAGTTCGCGATGATTGCGATGGCGGTTTCGATCATGGATACCGTGCAGGTTATCATTTGTTGGTTTTTCCAGGAGAAGATGGCACGGATTACTGGTTTTTTTGTCTCTTATTAGTTTGGTTTGGTTTGAGCGAGAAGGGAGCGGCGTACTGCTAGTTATTACAACGAGGATACCGAGGAGAAAGATTGAGCAGACGCCGATTTTTTGTTTGAAGGGCATGCGGAGACGGAGAACTTGGGAGATGGGGAGGCAGATGACTGGAGTCTTGTTAGTGGGATTGTTTGGTATTGATTGAGATTGTTTATGGGGGTATAGGGGATGCTCACTTATTACATCGCTGAAGATGTTGACTGGGAGAATTCGGTGTTAGCGAGGCTTCTTGGTGTAGGTGAGCAGCGAGAACGTACATAAGATGGTGATCCAGTAGTTGATCCGGCTTTGTTTTTTGGAGCATGCTCCTGTGATACTGTTAGCTTGTGCACGATCACAAGGCTTCGTAACAAATATAACCCACGCTCCGGGTGATCCAAGTCCCAGATGCGGTCGACGGGAAAGCATTTGAAGATGATGTTGAAAAAGATCGTAAGCCATGTAGCGGCAAGAAGGCAAAGGACGACATTGTAAATGCGTTGATAGTGCGTTCGATCCGCCAGCCGTTTGTAGAAGAAAACCTGCATCGGAAACCAACCCTGTTAGCCAGCAATACTTTCCTCTATATGTGTATGATGTACGAACCATGCCAGCCTTGATCAACCATAGCGAAGTCACGTAAAGTGTAGATCCCGGAATGATCATCTATAACAAGCGTTCAATGTGCGAAGCGATAAAATTGGTATATCCAATCCACCACCAACCTTGAGAATATTGGTTATATCATCTTTCGAAGCATTGCCCATGTCCGTCATGCCTAGACAGCACAAAGCCGTTAGAAACATGCCCCATAAATCTCCAAGCCGAGCCACAACGTACCCCAATTGAACATGAGATGCTGGATAATCAAATCGCCGATCAAACACAGACAGGCCGTCCCAACGAGGAAATCGTCGACGTAAAACTTGCTGAATCTCTGCCATCGCACGACCAACCGCGTGACGAAAACCGCACATGCTGCGATCGTACAGATGTACCATCCGACCTATATTCCATGAGAGAAGTGATCGTCAGTTCACCCCGTTTCCCGTGCCGATCGAATATGCTCCACGCGGTGGGAAGGAAAACAAAAGCACATACCACCTGGCCGGCTCCCGGGTGAGCCATGAAACGAGCTGCGGGTGTTCCCACCGTTATGAAAGAGCGAAGGAAGGACCAGCTGCCATCTAAGTAGCCTGAACGAGTGAATGCCGTATGAGCGGCGAAAGAGAGAAACGCAGTCGTCGATTGAAGGGTCGCATGCGAAAGACAGATTTTTAACAAAGTGCAAAAGTTTGATAATATGATCCCGTATTTACGACAATATAATTACCGTTTGTGCAAATCTCCCCATCCAGCTGGGGGCCTATCGGTTTCTTCCACTGGTTCAGCAACCATGGTTCGAGTAGAAAATCCCGACGATGGTGACGGCTCTTCCCAGGTTGTCCTAGGGCCAGCTTAAGATAAGCAAGTTTTATTGGACAGGCGAATGGGATTGTTTTCCATGAGCGACTGGCAGGCCTGGAATCATCTAATAGTCTGCAAAATGTTCCATGGTTCCGGCAGACCGGGAGGCTGGATAGAGTGGAGATGTTTCACTATAGAATATGTCCAAGTTACCGGATGCGGACATTGCCGGGAGCACGGCCTTGGGTCACTGAATGATGATTCATGTACCGAGTTGATTGTTGTATTACTCTAGAGTCTCCAGGCTGAAACGAAAGGTTACATGGGATCCCGTATCCCCTGTGGTTTAGGAAAGTTTCTAATCCTCCTCTCTGTAGATCAAGAAACCAGCCAACCATCGGTGTCTTTCTCTGGTTGAAAGTAGTTTTACTTCGCATGGATTCGCACCATAAAAGTCAATTTTTGGCTGATGGCGGGCGTGGGTTAACAGATGATCCTAAATTAGGTTATCCAGAATCTAGCTGGTAAAAACGTCGACCGCGTTGAGACATTGAGATAAGAAGACTCGCTGGGGGGCAAACATGAGATAAAAATACATATATATATAAAACTAGCGACCCGGCGATAAGAGAGAGTACGGAATTAGCTAGTTCAAGCAAGATGAGGACATCGATGCAGGTCCCACGATCCATCTCGCAGGATGCGCGCTACTTATTCAAGGAATACCTCCATATCCCGAGGTCCCAAGAGGCAGCCTAGGCAGTAGTAGAATTGATGGGAAAACCTTCCGCAGAATTCCCATTAATGGTGCTAGTTTCCGTTATTCGGGTCATCTCCGTGTCAGGCACTGAATATAAACTCTGTATTTTATAGCTTTTGACTCAAACCTCTTATGTCAGAACACTCCCAACAGCTCTAAATATCAAAAGTCTACCTGGAACCAGTTGGTGGATGAGACTTGAAAGTTCAGGGCTCAAGTGCGCATGTTACCCTATCTAAGACGGAAATTGCCATCCGTACCAAGGCTCGGCCGAAAATACTACGTTATTCTGGCTTGTTGTATCCACTGACCCACCACTTCATGTCCAATTGATCGTTGTACTATGAAAGGAGATCCACCGTGGTGCTGTGCCTGAATTGATCCTTCTACACGAGACCCCCCAATGCACAATTCTTTTTAGCGTAAACATCGAAAGTTTTGACCCCTGTTCTGCCTGAGGATCATGCAACGCGCCGTGTTTTGGAAATTATTATGGAGTCTGAACCCGCAAATTACCGAGATCATATTTGTTTTCATTAATTTTCATCGCTTTTATATTAAAACCTGCTGTCTATTGGGTATATGTCTATTACGGATTCTTGACGCCAACTCTAGCGATCGTGGGTTAGAAGTTTAGGAGGATTTGGCCAGACCGACGGGGTTCTGGACAACGGGATACTTGGGGATGTTGGGCTTGTACACGGACTGGCACCGGCCGTTGTAATCACCCGTACTTCCGACCTCAATCGCTAGCTCGTTTCCAGGGACTCCGAGCTTAGCCAAGGGTCCCTTGGTGGGCTTGGCTCGGTCCCATCCAGGTCCCGCGCTGGGGTTCTTGATCCAAGCGACAAACCAGTCATTCATGTAATCGGCCAGTGCCTGCTCAGCCTCTGTAACACCCGAGAGCTTCGAGAAACACTCATTGCCTCCGTGGAAGAAAGGTACCTCGCTTCCGTGTGATGGGCCCATTCCCGGAATGGGCAGGACATTATCGTAGTTACCAAACCACCGGTACACCCAGGTAGGCTGCTCACTCGAGCGGACGTCAATCAAGTAGTCAGTGGGGCAGAAGAACCGAGCATCTCCGTAGGAGGCGCCGCTCATGAGGGAGACCGTTTCATAGTCTGAGGCATTGTAGGCGTGAAGGAGATCATCTTCCGGAACATGAGCCAAATCAGCATCGAAGGTCTTGATCCACTTAGAGAAGTCAGTGTTCTCGCGGGAATAGACCATGCTGAAGATCTTGCCCTCCTGGTCGGAGTTGCCGACAATCAAAGGCACCGACTTCGGGTACTTGCCAGCGGCAAAGCGCGCCTTATAGTCAGAGAAACGGGTGATCTCATCCACGATCGGGGAGAACCAGGTGTTGGAAGTCTTGTTGAAATAAGAAGTCTGAATGGAGTAGACATCCACTTCACGGAGGCAATCCAGGGTAGGGTTGCTGGAGTCACAGTTCAGTGTTACACCGGCGGCTTCAATGTCCTGAGCTACCTGGGTCAGGGCAACGCCCGAAGGAGCGTATGCGGGGCCAGACTCGGCATTGGCAGACATTTCAATGGCACCCGCGAGGAATGTCTCAGGGTGATTCCACAAGTAATGATCAACCTGCACGGTTAAATTAGCCACCTGGGGTAATCTCCCGCGCCACTAAACACTCTTTGGAAGCGATTGTTGGTAGTTTACTTACATGAACACCGCCGGAGGAGTGACCGCCCAAAACAATGCGGGTGTTATCACCACCAAATCCTGTAGGGGCGAAGATGTCAATGCGAGTTCGCAAGAATGGGGTAGGAATGCGTTTGTACATACCTCTGATGTTATCATGGACCCACTGCAAAGCCATCTCGACATCAAGGATGCCAAAATTCTGCGATTGGCCCTCCAGCTCGGGTGCGTTGGGAGAGGCATAAATGCTCTCACGGTAGTTAACATTCACGTAGATCACATCCTTGCGTGCGAAATTGTGTCCCTGCCACTGAGCATTGCTGTTGCCGCCGGTAACCATCGCGCCACCATAGACGTAGACAAAGACCTGCTGACTGATTAGTTGACTTTCTCTAGCACTTCAGAAGAAAGAGAGGAACTGACGGGAAGGTTAGAGCCATTTTGGGGGGTCCAGATCTGCAAAAGGGAAGGGAGTTAGTAACCAATGACCCTCATATCAACCTTATTGTTGGAAGTAATACATTCAGATTCAAGCAGTCCTCGCCCTGAGCAACGATGGCATTGCCGGACATAGCCTGGGCGCAGGTAGGGCCGTAGGATGTCGCGTCGAACTCAGCCTTGGGGGATTTTGCTAAACGTTGAGGAGCCTTCCACCGGTTCTCACCAGCAGTTGACTGCGCAAAAGGAATTCCCAGGAAAACATTGGCGTCATTCTCCACAAAACCCTTGACAAGTCCTTGCTCGGTCAAGACAGACGGTGTGCCGTTGAATGTCGCTCCGGCACGGCCCTCCAAGAGCGCGAGAGCAGCGACAGCCAGACAGGCTGCCCGCTCAATAATATCCCAGATCGCACCCATAGTGAAAGTGATTTTAGAAACCACCTAAGAAAAAGACAGCCGTGAACTAGAAGAGAAAGGAGTAAATGCGATAGAGAAATGCCGATCGCGGCTATTTAAACTATTGAATTTTGTTTTATGCTTCGGGACTAGTTTAACCCGGCAAAAGGGAAACCCACGATTGACCTCTTTCAACCCTAGTTTCTTCTGCCTATCTTAGCACGGAGAAGGAACCACTATGCTTTCGGACTTCTTCTCCATTCCGGTTGACCCAATGGAGTCCCACTGCAGGATTTTGACATCGGCTAGTCGATTGTCTCTGCCACGTGGTTGTGGTAAACCGAGTCTTCGATCTAATGAATACTAGTGCTTGGCTATCGGGTCCCACCCTCGGAGGCCAAAAGCCGTCCGATAAACACTGGTTGATCCTGCGAAATGGTGTAATTCTTAGCAAATATTTTTTGGAGTATCCTTTTTCCTTCTATTCAATTTGAACTAGCGGTATTCCATTTCTCGTGGCAATTTTCATACGTTGATGTGGATCTTGCGCTCACTTTTGCTTAATATTAACGTCGTTCTCTCTCGGTTCAATTTTTTTTTTTTTTTTTTTTTGTTTTCTTTTTTTTTTTTTTCCCTTCTTCTTTTCGATGGATCACCATT